AAAAATCAGAGAACAGAGATTCTAAGGACAGTATGGAATAGGATTGAGAAAATAAGAGGAGAATAATACCACAGAAGGTAAAGAAGACAACTGAGCACAGAGAAGAGCTAGGAGGTGATAGGTCACAATTACAACCTCTTTGAAGTAGTAAGGAGAGAGTGGGAGAAAGAGGGTGAGCAGAGGTAAGGGGTCCAGGTCAAAGAGGAATGTTTCAGAATTCAGGTACTAGAGAACCAAAAGGTCTGCATGGTTAGAAAATGGCAGGGCCATGTTGGTGAATGACCACTGTGGAACAGAAATGAAGTGCGCTGGAGAGAAGGAAGCAGGAGAACTGGGTGATCACCAGAATTACTGAACTAATGAAGATGGTAGTGTAGGTTGGCAAGTGCCAGTCACTGCCCTGGAGCTCCAGAGCCTGATAGCCTAGAAGAATGTACAAAATAGTGCTGATTGGTAGTGTTGAGGACAGACGTGGTGAACTGAGCTTTAAAAAGCTGCGAGATGGGGGCTGGGGTTGTGGCTCAGTGGTAGAGCGCTCGCCTAGCACAGGCGAAGCACTGGGCTCAATTCTCAGCACTGTATAAAAACTAAATAAAGATATCTTGTCCATCTACAACTAAAAATATTTTTTAAAAAAAGCTGCAAGATGGGGACAAGACAGATATGAGACCGACAGAAATGAGGGGAAGAAAAGTGTAGTGGGTTGGGACCAGAGATAAGGGGGAAGTAACCTGAGGACTACCAGGTCACTATGGGTGTGGTTGGGGAGCACAGCACTTGCCACTCACAGGTGATGTTCTCAGGTGGCAGTAAGGGCTTTGTAAAGCATTCTTTATCCATTGAACTGGTATTTTGCGCACTCTGGAGCTGCAGTTAAAAAGTGGAGGACAGAATTATCTTGAATGTATAAAATTTTGTTTCATGGAAGAAAAAAAAAAGGTGTGTGGCTAATACCAACATGGTGGGGAAGCATATCCTAAACATTCAAATTTATTATAAAGATAATAGTATCCTTGTTTTTGGGTCCTAGACTTCTTTAGAAGTTCCATTTTCTTCAGGAACAGTGTAAAAATGTATGTTGTCATCAAATTCATTTATATAGTTCAATTATTGGATATTCTATTACATTTTTCCCTCTTAGTTTTGATTAACAGGTTTATTCTAACACCCCTATCCTTGAATGTGAATGGCAGGTAGTGGTGGTAATGGGGAGGTATGACCTGATTCTTTAACAAGTTCTTTTAATCTTCTGCTTTAGTAACAAGCAACTATTTAATCACTCACAGGAATATTTTCCTATATCTCTAATTTAAATATTCTATTACATTCTCTTGAGCCATCAAGGACTTCTGCTCTGTTCATCTATAAAGTTTTCATGCTATTCTTACAAATTATTTTCTTTTCTCTTGCCTTCCCCCACTCCTCCTCCTCCTCCTCCTTCTTCTTCTTTTTGGATGTTTTAGGTTCTAAGCAAAGCCAACAATAATTAATAGAAATTAAGAATGCTGGCACGGAAAGCTGGTCCTTATCAATCTCTCACGCTGTAAATGTGCTGCACAGAATCATAATAGGTTAGCTTCCAAGTCCCATGAAAAGGCATGAAAGAGGCCAAATATATTTGGATAACACTCAGTAAAGTCTACTGCTGTGAAAAGCTGTCTGTCATATAATTCCAAGAATTCAAATGAGTTGCTGCAATATTGCCAGGATTCTCTGACAGAATCACATCTTATTTAGACCTTCTGGCCTGAACAAAGTCTCATATTTCTCTCAAAGTCAAGATTATTAAATGTCTATACTGTTCAATATAATAGCTACTGACCATATGTTGCTGTTGCACATTTAAAATACAGCTAGCCTGAGATAGACAGCTAAGCTGAGACAGACTATAAGTGTAAAACAGATACTAGGTTTCAAAGACTTAGTATAAAGAAGAATGCATTAATATTTTAAATTTTATGATAAATTTAAAATTTTTAAAAATATTAACTACATGATAAAATCATAATTGGGGTTAAATAAAACGTATTATTAAACTTTCTCTTACTTTTTTATGCTTTAAAATATGGCTTCTTGAGAATTTTAAATTACTTGCTTGACTCCTTGTATTTTTACTGGGCTGCTCTAGGCTCTCTGCAGTTTAGAGCTGGGCCACAAGGAGGCACTAAAGTATGGTGCTTAAGGTCAGGGGTACCAGGTCAGACAGACCCAAGTTCCATTCTTTTGCCTTATGGAAGAGGAACCTTGTCACATAATCTTCCAATCTTAAGATCCTTGTTTATAAAACAAGAATAATGACACTGCTTTCCTCTTAGAGCAAATCTAAGCTGCTTGATAACTTAGGTTCTTAGAATGAGCATTAACTTCTAGATTATTAAAAAGAAAAGATACAGTTCTAAAAAGTGAATTGTAATAATTCCAACATTATCTCAAGAGACAAAGAGGGTATAAATCTTAAATAGTAAAATAGATCATGTCATACCATATTTAGAATATTCTTATTCTTTTCTTGCTTTTGACCCATTGCCATTGGTTCAGAAATATATTAAGGTACGTAGAAGTAAAGTTCGGAGCTATCTAAATGTAGATTAGCCCTGCTGTTTTCCGGGTCACCTTTCTCTGTCACTTGGCAATGCAATTTCAGCATCATAAACCAACTTTACTATTTCCTTAGGAAAGACAGTTAGGCAATTGCATGCCATTAAATAGTTTAATATTGTGCAGTTTGGGGTCATAGAACTATTTGAGAAATACAGGGAATAGAAAGCAAATAGGACAAGGAATCCAAAGAGAGGGATTCAATCCTAGGTTGGCCACAGCCCAGATAAAGGTCTTGAGAGTTTTCTAAAAGAGTCCTGGTTTTTTCACCTATAAAATAGGGATAAGGATGATAATACCATGTAGAATGAAGGTAATACGTAAATATTAGCTATTAACATTATTTTAATCCACTGAGATTAATCTCAACCTCTGGGATGGCTGGTGTGCACCCGTGCGCCTGGCCTGATTTGTTATTATTTTTAAAGGAAGCTTCCTAGTAGCAGTGATTTTTTTCTTTTTTTCCTGCTGCAGTTGTACCTCTCTTCATTCTCAGTTGGTTTTCATCATTCTCAGTTTTTGTCAGACTTTGACAATGTCAACTAATTTAAAAAGCAAAGTTTATTAATTTATTGTTGATCTATATTTTATTTCTTTCACTTTATTTGATAGTATTCTCAGTATTCTCTTGATTTTGTGTTCCAATAGATGGATAAAGCCATTCTTTTTTTGTGGGCGGGGGGGATACCGGCGATTGAACTCAGGGGCACTCAACCATTGAGCCACATCCCTAGCCCAATTTTTTTTTTTTTTTTTTTTTAGAGAGAGAGAGAGAGAGAGAGAGAACTTTAATATTTATTTTTTAGTTTTCGGCAGACACAACATCTGAGGATCGAACCCAGGCCACATGCATGCCAGGCAAGCGCGCTACCGCTTGAGCCACATCCCCAGCCCCCTAGCCCGATTTTATATTTTATTTAGAGACAAGGTCTCACTGAATTGCCATTGCTGAGGTTGGCTTTGAAATTGTGATCCTCCTGCCTCAGCCTCTCAAGCTGATAAGATTACAGGTGTGTACCATGGAACAAAACAGATAAAGCCATTTGTAAACAAAAACCTTCAGATCTAGATGGCACCTATCAGCTCATATTATATCAGATTATTTTGTGATAAACTCACCCCAATGCTTCTGTTCAAATGAGATTAAATAAACACACACATTAATAGAAAGGACTAACATGTGCATAAATATGTTGAAGTCAACAAGCAATCAGGAAGGTAAGGAAGAGACATCATACTGTGTTACTGAGACACTGAAGACCATCCTATTAGGAAGAGGATAAAAGAACAAAGTAAGCCATGAGCCTGCACAGTACTGGAGAGGAAGTCAGACATGCTCAGTAGCCTATTCAGTAAGCATGTGGAGTGACAGCCTTCTGATACCCAGGTAAATATATCACTACCTCTGATTCCAGCCATTTTCACCTTGTAAATTTCAATTTCTGATTTTTAAAAAATTTTAAGTTTAGAGCTATATTCTATAACCACCACCATTATTACTATTATTACTATTATCATTGTCCGGCCCATTACCCACATGCTTAGAGTTTACCTTAATAAAACAAAAGATGCAAAAGGATACTCATCACACTGCCAACCTTTATGTGGACAGTGAGTGAAAATCGAACATCAGTGATCATGGCCGAGAGCTGCTCCTAAGACCAAAAGTCACCACTACTAATCCCAGACATGCCTCTGGGATTGTGCATATGCCATTAAATTACATCTTTAGAGAACGCTGCTTTTCCCAAAGCATATTATATAATATGTATCTTGGGAAATGCCTTATCAAGCAAAAAAAAAAAAAAAACTTTGAAAAATGCTGTGTCTGTCCGAGTTTCCTTCTTAAAGATTCATAAGACGTATCAGCACATTACAGCTTCTTGTAATAAAAGAACTATCTTTGCTTAATTAAGCAAATCATAAATTTATTTGGCCATATAACCCTTTCCAATCCCTATCTCTTTATACTCTACAAACATCTCCTAGAACCAGTATTTCCAGAAAGACACTCTGGGAAACACATAGAATTAATTGTGATGAATATTATGCTTCCCAAAGTTTAAAAACCCTAATTATTCACCTCTAGGAAAAGGTGACAACAGGAAAAGACCTGAATATTAAGAAGGGAAGGGTTCTAATTTTTTTTTTGGTTCCCAGGGACTGAATCCAGAGGGGCTTACCCAGAGTCACATCTCCAGCCCCCACCCTTTTTTTGGGAGGACAGGGTCTCCCTAAATCACGAGAGCCTTGCTTAGTTGCTGAGACTGCCCTCAAACTTGGGATCCTCCTTCTTTAGACGCCCAAGCTGCTGGGATTACAGGCTTGTACAACTATACCCAGCAAGAAAGGGTTTCTTAAAATCACAAAGCCACCTGATCAATGGTGTGTGTTCCACTTACTTAAGGAGATTCCCAAGATTGAAGAGAGCGCGGTTGTGTTGCGGGTGGAGCTGGAGAGCTCTCTGATAGTACATCTTTGCCTCTGCGGTGTCTCTCGTCAGCGTTCCAAGGTTGTTCAGGGCGCTTGCGTGCCGTGGATACAATCTGAAAAAGTGGAAATAGGAAACCATGACTCCTAAGTTGGGCAGGCACAGTTTGCTTCTTTCCCCTCAGGTAAGCCACAACCCCAATGAAACATTGCATTCTTTTATTTTAATGGTGAGTCTGTGTCAAATCTTCATGGTCAAAGATTTTTTGCAGCTGAAGGCCCCTAAGTATGGAAGGGGAGCACATATTCGAAACACAGAGGAATAGACAAATAACTCCCAGATAGACAAAGAATAAACAGTATGCTAATCTAGCAGGAATAAATAAATTTTAGTCCTTCAGAAGCCTATAGTCACTTTCAACTTCCTTGGCTCAGGTGCTGAGTTTCTGGCTGGTGGCACTGCTGACCAGCTGCCTTGGCAGTGCCTGCTGTTTGCACAGATGTGGGAGTCCTGTAGGGAGGGATCTTCATAAACATCTCTGGGTTGGAGTGTAAGCAAGACTACTGGGGCTGAGAAAGGATGCTGCATAAAATCTCCCCATAAAAACAAACTCCAAAGTGACTCTCTGTCTTGACATTCTTTTTCCATTTTCATTCATTTCCTTTCTCCTACTACAATTTGGTTCCAACTGGCTTGAGATAGTTCTTGGGGTGAAACTCTAGAGCACTTAAAAACATTTAAACATCAAAAAAATTAAATAATGTACAATTAAGTGAAAACCATCATCCTAATGTGCAAAAGTTAACGCCAAGAGAGTGGGAAGTAGATCAGTAGACCAAATTCATGCTGATTAAGGAAGGGAATCAAGGTACTTAATTTCAGAATTATAAATCATTATTAATTATAAAATTATTAATTTCAGAATTATAAAGAAGCCAAGTCAGTGCAGAATCCAGTGGCTTCTGATACATTTGGAGTAGACATAAGTTAGCAGCCTAATAGGTTTGTTCCATCGCTGTCACTAGAGTGTTCTGAATAAGCCTGTGGAGTAGGCTTAAATGTAGAAAAGCTGAGAAAATGCCCTTGTAATAAAACTAGGATCTGTACTTGCCAATTTTCTTGATAGTCAAATGCCACTCTGGCCTCCCTGCTCTGTACCTACTAAGGAGATCAATTTAATTTGGGGACAGAAGGGGCCCTTATTAAAATGTGAAGGAAGGCAAGTTAAATAGTTTTTTTTTTTTCTCTTTGCTCAACTTGGAGATTCCTGTTTATTTGACACCTCCCTACTCCTTATAGAGCAGCTATGAACATCTTTTAGAACTAGTACTCCTAGGAAGGACACTGTGTCAGGCTTCTCTAGGCTGACAAGGAATAAGGGACAGAATCAGTTCAAATACATCTTCTTAAAGCTTGAAATCCCTAATTATTCACACTGGCTCTGGAGGCTGTTGGAGAAATAGAGTTAGTCAGGCCAAAGAAAAACACTGAGCCAGCATGTGGGCTCCTGGTGGCTTCTCTCTGGGCACATTTAATTAGCACAAAAAACTTTAGGGGCCCTGATACCAGAGGCTGAGCACTCAGCCTCAGATCCTGGAGACAAGTGCCTGGCACTCTCTCTGAGATCCCATCAGAGGGGATCAGAGCTATAATCAAAGTCAGAAGAAGCGCCAGGCTCCGGAAAGGACCCTGGGAAATCTGTGTGCAATGATTTCCTTGGAATTGACTGCAAAACACATCATGGCCAGAACTCAAATTCTTCCCAAGAAACTTTTGTTTCTGTTTGTTTTTGATGTTGAGCAAAATATTTTGACTTCTGAAAGATTTAAGGGGTGTCTGGTGGGTATGGTGAGAGCAATTTCCATGCTTCTCATTTCTTCTGTGAAAGCAATAATAGTCTATTGGGGACACGTGTCCTCCTTTCCCTGATTTGTTTAGGCTTTGGAGCCTTCAAATAAATGTCTGAGGTGAAAACACTAAGGAAAAGGACAGTCTAAATTCCCTAAGAGCTTCCATGATGGCTCACCTATGTACTAAGGCACCTGCTTGCTCTGCCAAGCAGCTGGCCCTCTCCAGATGGTTCTCAGCCCATCTCCACAGACTTCACATTCACTCAGGATCCCACTGCTATGAAAATGAGTAGCTACGTACATTCAAAGTTCAGTGACTACAGAAATGACTTACTTTCTTTTCTAAACAGAAACAGAATACAAGGCACAGAACTCTCGAAATCAAAGCAAGTGTTGAAAAGTGAAGTAAGGACAAGAGAGGCATTATGAAGTCTTTAATATGCCTTGTGCTGTAAGAATGGGTCTGCAGCTTAGAAACCTGAGGCTTAGGAGAAGAGGTCTTCATGCCCAGCTAGAGTCAGGGAAGAGGCTGCATGTAACAGAGCCCACCTCCTCCAGAAGGACACTGCTACTACTCTTTAGTCAGTCACTGTGAGCACCAGTGATAGACTTCTAACTGGAAAAGGTATAGACACTGTTTATTCACAGTAATAGCACTGTCTGCTAGTAATATCCTTTCACTATCTAATTAGGTTCACCTAGTCACAGCAAGCATTGCATTATTTATGAAACAAAGCAGAATTTCATTAAAAGGATTCTTCACAGGTCAGGAAAAATTATCTAGAAAATTAGATGTAGATTTTTTTTTTTTTAAACTACAAATTCCAGTGCTATTTACTGCAGAGCTGTGCAAGGACAAATTTTATTTTGTGTGTTGACTTTTCAAATAAATTCGTGTTTGAATTAGCTTGGGTCTAATGCAATCCTGAGATCTCCAGGAGGGGAATTTTCTGTTGGAAAGATAAATAATTTAAGCAATGTCTATGTTGCTACATTGACTGTCAGAGTAAATTAAGTCCTTCTTGACTTACTTCTACAGGTATGTTTTACAAAAGTCCTGTTGGAGATTATTCCCATTCCCACCCACAAAAAATTCAAGATTCACTGAATTGGAGCAGAGTAGTGATTTTTCAGGTTGATTTTTAAAGACCAGCATGAATATTCACTGGATTTTCTTTCGCACAGTCTTAGTTCATTCTTTTGGATTGTTTACAGGGATTTTTTATCTGGCTACTTCTTTGTTATTATTACTTCAATAAATTAAACTTAAGATTTTATTATAGAGAAACCATGTTATGTTGTCATATAGTTCTGGGGTATGGAGAAGTTTATTTTTTCCCCCTTTGAAAAGATACATAGAGATCTGGTTCTAGGAGCTGAAGAGAACTTTTTCAAGTGTTGGGTAATTCTGATTCCTGAGAAACATCAGCCATTTAAGCATTTAAGGGGTTCTAAATTTTTATCAAGTGGTATTTCCTGAAGCAGAATTCATAAAGTATAGGTAGTCAGGACATGATTCTCCTCCATTCCCCCAGTCATATTATCTCTGAAGAACGAACTTCAACAACATGTTAATAGGATATAGCCACTGGGAGGGAGCAGTGCCTCAGTCAAAAATGGAAGGCAAGGATGAGTTAATGGGACTTTCCATTTGAAAGGACTTTCTCATAAGTTGTTGTATTTTAACCTTCAAAATTCTGTAAGCTTACTCTACTCTTTTACAGTAATAATATTAGATTATAATTTTTGAGTAAATATTAGATTATAATTTTTAAAAAAAGATATCTCAGAAACACTGTGTTCTTAAATGTCAAGAAGGTGAATGGTCCCTGTATATTTATTTACTTTTTTCCTAATGATACACGAGTCATGCAACCTTCTGTAAACAAATATATTGCTACAAGTTAGAGCTTCCATTTGGAATAATTTCTACTTTTTGTTTTTTTTTGTCCAATTATATGAAATAGTTCTCAGTGATAGAAGTGAAATAAACTCAGCCCTCAGGAAGTTGGCCACAGAGATTCTTATGCATTGGGAAAAAATTGTGTACTGCTATACAAAATAGTCATGGCATCTCGAAAAGCACAGTTTTATGGAAAATATTTAGAATTAACAATACTCAGAAAGTGTGTAAGACTGGGCTCTCTGGTTTAGTGTTTTAAAGTTTTAACCTTAACTAAAGATCCACAGAAGATGTATGTATATGACTAAAGTTTGGCTTTATATTTTATTTCAGTCATTTAAATTTACAATCTGTTTCAAAGTTAGGGATGCTGTGAATTTTTCACTGTTTGAATGGCCTGGAAGGCATTTCATTGTTCAAATAATATTGAATCATGTGCTACAGTCTGCAATTTCCTTTCAGAGTATACACACCCTGATTTATTTGTCTGATTTTCATTCCACCCATTAATTTATTTGAGGTTAACTATGCTAAGGTCAGATGTTTATTTTCTATTTCCTGTTGAGGAAAAAAAGAATCCAAAAGAAAAACATGACTAGGAAAAAAATTCCAACCAGAAAATCTAAATTTCACTGGACTAAAATATACACAGATTAAATTTTTCAGAAGTTGACAGCATATTTTCAACTGTATTAGTCTCTCATATATTGTAAGTTTCTTCATGTGATAAAATTCAAATCATTGTGTCACTAAATTGCACATAGGTAAGATGAATCATTTTAGTGGTCTACTTCTTTAATTGTTTGAAACTGCCATTAACGCTTAGCAAATATTATCTACCCATTCTCCCTTCAATGTATTCCTTCTGATCCACTAAAGACAGCCTTGGGGATAAAACCTCAAATGCAATTTAGAGAAACAGGACACATTCTCCAACGAGGGGCCACCTAATTTGTCTGACCTCTCCCAAGGGATGACCTCTAAGATTGATCCGGAAGAACTCTACCCTGTTGATTTTCCAAGACCAAGTAGCGTAAAACCGTGGCTTTCGGATGTCCTCAGGAAATGAGTCATTTTAAATGGCTGAATTTTCCTGATTCCTGAGAACTTGCCTCTAGTGATTGGGAAATTTACTGGGCAAAACCATTCTCTACTCTTTTAAATAGAAATGGTGAATGAAGTAATCAGCCTTTCTCAGAAGCGTGGTGGTGACTGTGGCAGGATGGATAGGAAGCTGCCTTGCTGGAGTGGAAAAACAACTAAAGGGGAGTCAGAAGCCTGGGGTGACTTTCTAGCTGTGCCTGTGCTTTAGTTGATTTCTCTATAAAAATAAGGGTAATAACATACTGACCTCTGTGAACA